TATCCCAAAAGAAAAAGTAGCAGGCTGCTTTTGAAAGTGATCCTAATATTGTAAGAAATTTCTAATCATGAGCATCTATTAAAATGGCCACAGTGCACTTGCTGGCCATGAGTGATCCCCATGAGATAAAATTTTAACTGAAATGTTTGTATCTGGACAAAAGAAGATGGAAGTAAAACTAATTTTACTTGTTTCTGGAACATATTTTCCCTGGATTTTATTTCTGATTTTATTTATTTCTGATCTTCCAACTGCACAAGTCTTGAAGACCATTTTAATGGTAATGAATTTATTTAGCAATATGGCTCATTTTATTTCCTCGCATGAAACTACCATCAGCTCAGGAGACTGCTCGGCTTTTTCTAGACCACATTTCTCAGTACAGCACTTGGTCAGTCATGTAATCTCACACTGTCTCTCTCAAATTACATCCAAGTTTTAGAAAGCCATTTTCCAATTACCGGACAATCATAGTTATCTGTCATTCTCTCATCATCTGGCACTGAATGAACAATCAGAGATGGATATATTACTTGAGCAATATTTACACTGCTGTGTTTCTTACCAGCTGGACAATTGGACTAAATTATTGTCTTTTGCAGGATTTCAATAGAATAACTCATTGCATTATTCTATCAGCATGTTCTCCTTTCATATGATTTACAGCTATGATCCTCACATCTTGCTCTCCAAGGCTCCTGCCTTTACTGTTCCTTCAGCTTTTCACTTTCACCAGGAGACAGCTGCTCAGCTCCTCTTAAACAAGGAATAGATCTGGCCAATGCTGTGTACAGGTATGCCACAGATGCAAATAGTCATATCAAAACTGAGAGGAGGAATTTAGTGTTGCTTTCCACTAGATTTGTACCTTTCTTCCACCCATTCAAGAAGCTGGATTCAAAATTTATTGGCCCTTTCTCAGTTACACATCAATTTAATGCAGTGGCCTTCCATCTACAGTTCTCTGCTTTAATGAAGTTGAAGTTGGTATTTCATTGGTCATTCCTCACTTGTGATATTCTGTCCTTTGTGTTTAGTTCCTGATTTCACACACACCCCTTCCCACTCACCACATCCCCTGGTGTATGAATAAGATAAATGTTTTCTGGATTCTGGAGACATGAAGGGATGCTTAAAATATCTTATTCACTGGAAGGGTTACCTCGAATCAAATAGGCCATGGAAGAGGACAAGAAATGTTCATGTACCTCAACCTGTCTGCCACTACTATCTGAAATTCCCATCCCCATGTCTTGCTGCAACTATCAAATACCGCAAACACTAAGTCTACAGAGTTAGAGCTTTGATGGTGGTTAGTGTGCAAGAGAAAGAAAAGGGCGTTTTCAGCTCCAACTAATTCCTCCCTGCCAAACACTTCTGGTGATCTTGGTAAGTTGCCAAGGCCCATCAGCAAGTAAATTTGGGGAAAATGAATCTGGGTTCATTGCCCTTGACAAATTGTCTAGTCTGTCTTCATGCACAAATGGAGGCAATGACTCTGAGAAGTGGTATGAAGGAATATAGAACAGATCATGGGAATAGGGAAGGAATAAGTTGACCCTTTATGGTGAGACTTAGAGAAAAAGATCACTGAGTCCTGAGAAAGAGGAAAGCATGAGGGGAAAAAATCAAAATAAATCTACCTTGTTTTTATTTAGTATAAGATGGGCTGAGAGAAACTTGAATAGGCTCTGTTATTCTGTCTTACTATAATAAAAATTCCTGCATGCCTGTTTTTGATCTTGATCTTGCCTACTTCAATGCAAGTGGGAACAGATGTGTCTGAGGTAAAGCAACAAAAAATAGGATAAAGAATGAAGATTGAAAGTTGATTGACTATAAAAGAAAGAACTCAGTAGGGTAAAAGTAAGTCAAGTGTGAGGCCCAGATTTAGATTACAAAATTCTAGATCAGGGATCCCCAACCTATGGTCCGCAGCCCAGTACTGGTCCGTGGCCTATACACCACTGGGCCCCAGGAATAGCTGGCAAGCCCTGCACTGCCATGCGGGCACTAGTGGCCCCATTTGCACATATGTGGGGATGCTAGCATCGCCGCCAGTGTCACGGGGGTGGAGGCCTGTTTGTGCATGTGCATGCGTGGCAGCGTGCATGCCATGGGCACCCACGCCCCATTTGCGTGCACGCTAGCGCTGCTGTTGTGCTTGCGCCCATTTGCGCATGCGTATGCAGCCCGCATGCGTGCACATTTCCCTGCTGCTCCCTTTCCTTCTGGACTGCCAAGTCAGAAAGGTTGGGGAACTCTGTTCTAGATGACTAGATGGGTAGATTCACTTATGAGCTTCTCCAATCAACTGACTGGTTCTGAGTTGCATACAACTATTCACATTTGTTGAGTTGATACATAATAGTTAAAAATTAAACCCCAATGTATATGATATAAACAACCATAGTTGGTCAGCCCCAGAGACAGGACATTGCATATCTTTGAATATCAGTTGAGTAAGAAAGAGATCAATATCTTGGACCACACCTTAAAAGGACAGCCTATTGAGATCCTTACATTAAAACAATACATTTCATATTTCAAAATATATATGCAGTTTTGGGGTTCTGACCATGTACAGTCAGAACCCAAAGGTTACATAAAATGTGGCCCTTTATCAAATCACCATGACCTGATGGATTACATCCCAGAGTTCTGAAGGAACTTGGCAGATGTTATCTCAGAACCATTGCACCATATCTTTGAAAATTTTGGGAGCATCGAGGAACTACCAGAGGATTGGAAAAGAGCTGATGTAGTTCCCATCCTCAAAAAAGGAAGAAGAAAAAAAACAGACCCAGGAAACTACAGACCCATCAGCCTAACATCAATACCTGGGAAGATACTAGAAAAAATAATCAAAAAATAGATCTGTGAACATCTAGAAACAAATAAGCTTATAACTAGTAGCCAGCACAGGTTTGTTAAAAACAGATCATGCTAAACCAATCTGATTTCATTCTTTGATAGAGTGACTAAATTAGTAGACCAGCAAAATGCTCTGAACATAGTATATTTAGATTTCAGCAAGCATTTGACAAAATAGACCACAACCTACTTCTTGGTAAATTAGAAAAATGTGGGAAAGACAGCAACACCACCAGTAACTAGCAGACAAACAGTACTCAATGAGTAGTCCTTAATGGTACTACATCTACATGGAGAGAAGTAAGCAGTGGGGTGAGGGTTCCGTTTTGGGCCCTTCAATATCTTCATAAATGATTTAGATGAGGGAATAGAAGGGGAACTCATTAAATTTGCAGATGACAAGTTCAGGATCCAAAAAGATCTTGACAGACTTGAACAATGGGCCCTATCCACCAACATGAAACTTAATGTGGAGAAAAGCAAGGTTTTACACCTAGGCAGGAAAAACCAAAAGTACAAGTACAGATTAGGTGAAACCTGGCTCAAAAACAGTAACTGTGAGAGGGACCTTGGAGTCCTAGTGGATGATAACTTAAACATGAGTCAGCAGTGTGCGGCAGCAGCCAAAAAAGCTAATACAATCCTTGGTTGTATAAACAGAGGCATAGAATCAAAAACACATGAAGTATTAGTACTGCTTTATAAAACCTTAGTAAGACCACATCTGGAATACTGAATCCAGTTTTGGTCACCATATTACAAAAAAGATTTTGAGACTTTGGAAAAAGTGCAGAGAAGAGCAACTAAGATGATTAAGGGCCTGAAGAAATAACATGAAGAATGGTTGTAAGAATTGGTATGGCCAGGCTAGAGAAAAAAAGGACTAGGAGAGACATGATAGCAGTTTTCAGGTATTTGAGGGGCTGCCACATAGAAAAGGGGGTCAATTTATTTTCCAAAGCACCAGAAAGAAACAATGGATGGAAACTACTCAAGGAGAGAAGCAACCTGGAATTAAGGAGAAACTTCCTAACAGTGAGGACAATTAACCAGTGGAACAGCTTGCCTTCAGAAGTTGTGGGTGCTTCATCACTGGAGGTTTTAAAGAAAAGACTGGATAGCCACTTATCTGAAATGGCAGGGCTTTTTTTCCTCATAGAACGCTCAGAACGGAGTTCCGGCACCTTTTTTGGATGGAACCTTGTAGGGCAGGTAAGGCGGGTTGTATGACATGTGTGAGTTCCGGCACCTTTTTTTTTTTTTTTAGAAAAAAAGCACTGAGAAATGGTATAGGGTCTCCTGCTTGAGCAGGAAGTGGGACTAGAAGACCTCCAAGGTCCCTTCCAACTCTATTCTGATTGATTGATTGATTGATTGATTGATTGAGCATCAATTTGAAGAAGAAATATATGAAGAGAAAGGGGAAGACTGCGAAATTTGTGGCTAGATAGAATTGTTAAAATTCTCAAAAACAGAGGTACAAAAAACAAAATGGAATGTATGAAGTATGAATATATTAGAAACAAGAATGATTTATAAAAATAAAAAAGATATAGAAATGGACAGTGAATGGTTTGATGTAAACTATATGTAGTTAATTTATTTTCATGACCTGACTTTAATATCCTTTGCTTTCTACTAATTCATTTTTGCACTCTTTGTAAGGTTGCTTGCACCAGAAAGTAATAGCATGATGGATGTGTATACCTGCTAAACAAAAAAAGGTGAGAGGGGGTTGGTACTTCAACAATTTAACAATATGTTAAACTGTCCTGGCTAAATGGAAAAGCAAGAAACAAATAAAATACATAGATAAAGTAGCTTAGTGACACTCCCAGAGGACTTCATGAGCTGCAGAGGATCCTAGCACATTCTCCAGGGCAAGTTCTTGCAATGCTGCTTCTCTCTGCCTTCCTGGGTCTCTGTGTCATTGTCCTTTTGTCTGAGAGTGCTTCTTGAAGTATTGTGCCTTTTTGTATGTAGTTGCCTGTTTCTAATCTCACTGCAGAATCCTAGACTTTCTAGAGACACAGCTTGAAACCATATATAAGGAATAAAAAAAATAACATTTCTCCCAACCCCCATCCTCGGCCATCCAGAAAATCTCATGTCTTTTCTCTCATAAAAAATTTATTACTAAAAATTGTAATTCACACACAGATATTGAAAAAAAATCTCAAACAAGAAATATAAAGGAAAACCTGAATTAAGGCACCTTGACTAAATTTGGTTATTTCATTTACAAGGCTTCTTGTAATATAAAACTATGCAAGAATAAGCAAATAAGATAGTTATTAAAAATGACAATTTACAAACAATCCCATGTTAATAATGATTAATAGCATAGTATTATAGATAAACATTTTCAACTGAATTCTATATTATATATTACTTCCCAACAGAAGTAATTATTCAAATAAGGTTGTTTTTATTTTTAAGGCAAATGTTTCAGAAATGTTATAGTTGTCTTCTGTACATAAACAATATAATGGAGATACATATATATATATTCTATTCAGGTTATTTAATACAATGGCTCAGAAATAAGATCCATCAAAATCAATGGAGCTTATCTGTGTTTGCATACTTTCAGAACACCTACTCTAATCAGTTATTCATAGAAAACAGATAACTTCTAAATTTATTTCTTCTAACATGTAAAATTTTATGAGATTTTATTAAACAGTACTATACCCAATTCCTAATACAAACAACATGAATTAATAAATGATTTCCCTTGTTAATTTTTAAAAAATTGTTTAAATTGTTTGAAGCTTTTTCAGTTCTCTTTCTGTGGATTCTGTCTTCTTGTGCCAGGACGGACAACCCTTGTTCTTCTCTGTACTGATCCTGTTAATCCAAAAATAAGTCAGATAAGGTTATTTTATTTATTGTTTTTAGTTAAATATTCATAAAAATATAATACATTATGATTATTATTGCTTAAAATAAAAACATGCTTATAACAAAAATAATAATTCACATAAACAGCTAGTATATGCACGAGTTCAAAAGTAGGTATTCTTCCTTCAATATCCATTAGTGAGAAAAGATTATGGGATTCAGAATTGTTAACTCTTTCTTCAGTGGTTTATTGTTTCATTCTATCATATTATATGCATAAACTAGTATAATCCAAGTTCATATTTTATGTAAATTGATTTAACAAATTTCTCTCTAAATATTTAATATTATATATATTATGTAATATGGTATATAGTGGTTCACATAAAGAATCTCGCCACCATTTTTTAATTAGAATACATTTAAACATTTTAGTTAAGCATAGTTAGAACATGTTAATGTAAGAAACCATTTCATACCTTGTGTCTTTCTAGATGATTGTACTTTTCTTACTGGGATGTCTAAAAAATGTTGAAACCAATATCCTTTATTGTAAACATTTGAAAATAATAATATAGGTTGAAAAGTTCAATTTTCTGACTCTACAGTATAAGGGGAAAAGTTCAAGCAACATTTAATCATGTAACACATCCACATCTACATTCTGTATTTGGTAACACATAGCACAACAGGGAGCTCTAGGCCAATACATAAAAAGAGAAGCTGAAATCTATTGTATACAATATTTTGCACAGAAATTTGCTACTTAAGGAACATATAACCACCCTCACCCTTAGTTAGGCACCTGGCAGTGATTATTAGTTCTCTAGATTCTGTCAACAGTGCTAAAATGTTGATGTAAAACTACTATTGAGTCAACATTTCAACAAGACAAAGATTTAAGCTTTTTATTTCATCCAGATTTAAAAGATTTACCGTAATCCATACTATGCAAAAAATAAAATGGGAAATAATGCTTTGTATCATTCCTAAATAAATTATTGTACCATACACATCAGTATAGCTATAGTACACACACACGCACACACACACACACAATAAAATAATTTCTAGAGCCTCTCATTTTGGAGTAGATGAAGACATAGGGAAGTTAAAGACATTATTTATCATTTTAACCAGCAATCTTGTCAAAAATACTGTTTTCTTTAGCTTTCACCACAACTACCTCCATATAGATAATTAATGTCATAAGGATAATATTTATAAGAATAATTCCATTTATTGTATGACTGACCTTCCAGATGAATTTTCTTTATTTCTGTTTCGATAATCTGTGGTTCTTCTTCAATTCTTTTAGTAACTTTAGTGTACTCAGATCCAGCTATGGTTAATATAAAAAGAATATTTTTGGCAAAAGAATGATCCAGGCATTACATTCTGAAATCTTAAGATGTAGATGGAGGCAGCTATGGTCAGGAAGGCATGACAAACTCCTAAACATTTTCTTAGAGGTGACCATTGAGACTTATTCTAGGACTGGTAGTTAAGCACAGAAAGCCAGTTTGCTGAAGTAGTTAAGGCACAAGGTAGATATCAAGACAGTTCTAGTCCCACCTTAGGGACGCCATCTGGGTGATTTTGGGTCTGTCAACCCTAGGAAAGAGGCAATGGCAAAATACTTCAGAAAAATCTTGCCAAGGAAACTTCAGGGATTAGTCCAGGCCAAGATTCAATGCCTCTCCCCCCCCTCCCCCTCTCTCTCACGCACAAAGAGAGTTCAGCATGGCCTGGTGCATTCATAAAATATGCAAGGAGTACACAACTTCTTCTCTCAGCTTGCAAGGTTTTAGGTTGCTATACACAAAGGATAATTTGTTTGTGTGGTATTTTGTCCTAAACAGTTTTTGGATACTATCTCAAATATCTATCATTATTGCAGCATCCAGTGTGCACATCTGGGCCAAGTGACATTTTAAATTGCTGTATGAATCCCTAATTAGAGATAAAGGCTTGATCTGCACAAAAGAGGAGTTTGAAATCTTTGACACCCAAAGCATGAATGTAGCTATTAAGAACAGAGACTGAGGTAACTTGGATTTTTATATTTTTATTTAATAGCATAATGAATCTGAATAAGCTTTACCAATCATTTTAAGCTATAACAAGCATTCCAGTACATGAAAGCAGAATTATTAGCAGGAGCATTTTAACAATGGGAGCAAGCAGTTCAGCTGTTTTAAAATCTGTCTGCTATTAGATTCATAGCCTGGTAATATACATTTTACCCAGATACAACAAGAATTCATTCACCATTTAAATGCAGAATTGTCATTAATCTGTGGAATACATGTATTTTGGTTAAAAACCAGTAACATACTGTACATACATAGTACATAATGAATCATTCTTGTCCTGTCCTGCTAGAAAGATGTGCTTACATTCTCTTGCCCTATTGAGCTTGCCCAGGTAAAGACGAGGAGGTGGAATAGAATAGAATAGAATAGAATAGAATAGGATAGGATAGGATAGGATAGGATAGGATAGGATAGGATAGGATAGGATAGGATAGGATAGGATAGGATAGGATAGGATAGAGCTGGAAGGTACCTTGGAGGTCTTCTAATCCAACCCCCTGCTCAAACAGGAGAACCTATACCAGGGGTGTCAAACTCAATTTCATTGAGGGCCGCATCAGCATTGCAGTTGGCCTTGGGGGGATGGGTGGGTGTGGCCAGGGTGGGTGCAGCCTGGATGGAGTGGGTGTAGCATACTGGATGGGCATGGCCAACTCTGCATCGTTCGCATCAAGGGTGCCTGTGGGGGCCTGGGCAGGAGTGAGACAGATCTGAGGGTCTCTGGCAGAAGGGCAAGTGCCAAGGCATAGTCCACTGGAGGAGCCTCACTGTTCCTCTCAGATCATGCGGGGGGGCTGGATAGTGGTGTGGGCAGCCCGGAGCCCTGGGCAGAAGAGGTCAAATGCCCAGCCTGGCCCTCGAGCACCCGCGGCACCAAGCCCAGCCCCACTTCCCCAAGGGGACGCCCAGCTGCACTTATCTCCTCCTCAAGGCTGCTGCTGCTGTTCTTGCTCTCCTTAGCCAGGTTGCTCATGATGGGTACGAGGGCAAAGTCAGAGGGAGGCCCATTCCCTCTCCATGGGAGTAGGTCCAGCTTTGTATCCAAAGCTTCCTTAGCAATAGGATGAGAGACCCCAGGATAGACCAGGAGGAGGGGGCAAGGGGATGGTGAAAGGGCAGCAGGGCAGGACTAAGGTAGGACTTCCCTCAGACCCTCCCTCTCCTTCTTTCCTTCTTTCCTTCCTTCCTTCCTAAGTACAGAGTGGTGAGAAAATATTTGAGATAAGGGAGGGAGAAAAACAGGCAAGAAACGCAGCTGCGGAGGTATCACCCTTTGTGAGGAATAAAGAAATGCACCATCACCTGGAAGTAGCCAGCACATGGCCCTCACCTACTTCACATATCTGGCTTGGTGGGCTCTGGGAGAGGGGATGCCATGAGCAGTGTGAGAGTCAACATTACCTGCACAATGCCGCTCAGCCTCCAGCCTGCCTGGTCTCAGCAGACAGCGGAGCACTCTCCTCACAGTGCCGAGAGATTGAGCCGGGAGGTGCGAAGCTCATCAGCTTTGCACCTTGCTGCCTGCTGAAACTGGGCAGACTGGGGGCTAGGTAGCATTGCACTTCTCAGCAGATTCGCACCACCTGGCTCAGCTCTTGGCGCTGTGAGGAGAGTGCCCCGCTGCCTGCCAAAACCCCTCCCCCGAAGCCCATCAAGATGGATAGGTGAAGTAGGCGAGGACCATTTGCTGGCCACTTCCAGGCGATGGTGCATTTCTTCATTCCTCACAAAAAGTGACACCTCCCCAGCATGCACCCAGGGGGTGGGCCCGACGTAGCAAAGGCTGGTTCCTCACTGTTTCCAGACGGCCTTGTGGAGCTAAGACTGAATGCATTTCAGCATAGATGGCCACCACAAAATTGTACATTGGCTCCCGGCCAGCCTGGGCCAGGGCCAGGGCCAAGGCAGAGGGGGCCGTTCCCTCACTGTTTCCAGAATGGCTTCGTGGGCCACATGAAACCACTTCGCGGGCCGCATCCGGCCCCCGGGCCTTGTGTTTGACATGTCTGACCTATACCATCTCTGACAGGTGATTGTCTAGTCTCTTCTTAAAAATGTCCAGTGATGGAGCGCCATGATTTCTGGAGGCAAGCTATTCCACTGGTTGATTGTCCTCACTGTCAGGAAGTTTCTACTTAATTCCAGGTTGCTTCTCTCTTTGATCAGTTTCCAACCAATGGTTCTCATCCTTCCCTCTGATGCTCTGGTGAACAATATGACTCCCTCTTCCTTGTGGCAGTCCCTCAGATACTGGAATACTGCTATCATGTCTCCCCTATTTCTTCTTTTCTTTAGCTTAGCCAAACCCAAGTCCTGCAGCCATTCTTCATACGTTTTAGTCTCCATGCCTTTGATTATCTTAGTTGCTCTTCTCTGATTTTTTTTCCAGACTCTCAACATCTTTTTTGTGATACAGTGACCAAAATTTGCTGCAGTATTCCAGGTGTGGTCTTACTAGGATTTTATAAAGCGGTACTAATACTTCAAGTGATTTTGATTCTATGCCTCTGTTTATATAACTCAGGATTGTATTAGCTTTTTGGTTGCTGCTGCACACTGCTGGCTCATGGTCAAGTGATCGTCCACTAGGACTCCAAGGTCCCTCTCACAGTTACTGTTTTTAAGCCAGGTCTTGCCTAATCTGTATTTGTGCCTTTGGTATTTCCTGCCTAAATGTAAGACTTTGTTTTTCTCCTCATTGAAACTCATTTTTTTGGATAGAACCCATTGTTCAAGTTGGTCAAGATCTTTTTGGATCCTGAGTTTGTCTTCTGGGGTGTTGGCTACTCCTGCCAGTTTGGTGTCAGCAAATTGATGAGTTCCCCCTTCTATTCTCTCATCTAAATCATTGATGAAGATGTTGAAGAGTACTGGGCTTAAGACGGAACCTTGTGGTACCCCACTGCTTACTTCTCTCCATGTGGATGTAGTGCCATTGAGGACTATTCATTGAGTATGGTTTGTTAGCCAGCTACAGATCCATCTAGTGGTGATGTTGCCTATCCCATCTTTTCCTAGTTTGCCAAGGAGTAGGTTGTGGTCTACCTTGTCAATAGAACAGAAGGGGAACTCATCAAATGTGCAGATGACACTAAACTGGCAGGAATAGCCAACACTTCAGAAGATAAACTGTAAGGACCCGCTTCAAAACCACTTCCTAAGAAAGCAGAACTCTTGGAACAGATTCATCGCAAAAGGAACCTTTATTAGGAGTAGTTGACAGCAGGCATAGAAGGCAGGATCTGGGGGTTTCCCG